CTCTCTGCCTCTAACTCCAATTAAAATTACTTATAATACAACGTCCTTTCTTTGCCTTTAAAAGCCTCTGACTTTTACTCCCTTATTTGGGACACTATTTGGGTTTCTACCTGAATCTGTGCTCCCCGAATTGCAATTCTTTGATCCCAAATAAACACTTTGCCTCTTAAACTGGTTTTTTTTGTAGGTTGACACCACTCATGCCTGTGTGCCCCTTCTAAAGTCTTTGTGCATCACCAGGACACAAATTTCCCTAGTTTGGAGACTCTTGTTTCAGAAGATCACCTGCTTCTTGGGCACCTCTCCAGGTACTGTGTAGCTACCACCAAAGGGTCACTTTTGTGGGTCTGAGTAGCTGAACCCAACTGGAACTTTGTAATGAGAATTACAGAAAACAACTGGACTGTCCTACGTAGGAGGGCTCCAGACAGTGAATTTGCCTTGAAGAGGTTTATGAAAAAGGCTCCCACTAGGCACCCACCAGTGCAGTGGGTGTGTGTCTAGGAAAGGCTGGCTGGCCAGCTACTGAGTAGCCAAGAGGCTTCATAATGGCCTTCACTACTTCACCATGGTCCAGGGTCAGACCTTCTGCCTTGCAGGCTCAAAACCTCAGCTTGTCAGCATGTGGAAAGTGGGTATATGGTCCACATAACTAAGTTATAAAATCCAGATCTCAATATGCTAATTTACAAGGAGAAATCATTGGCATGAGGAGTGACCCCAAAATCTATACATAGAGCTACATGGAAAGCCAAATGGTGAGCCAGGACTCAGGACAAGATGGGATGATTGAGACGAAATGAATATTTAATACTTAATTTGGGGCCGGCCCCGTGGCTTAGCGGTTAAGTGCGTGCGCTCTGCTGCTGGCGGCCCGGGTTCAGATCCCGGGCGTGCACTGACACACTGCTTCTCCGGCCATGCTGAGGCCGCGTCCCACATACAGCAACTAGAAGGATGTGCAACTATGACATACAGCTATCTACTGGGGCTTTGGGGGGGGAAAAAAAACTTAATTTGGCTAAGATAGCAAGATATGGCCACCATTACACCAGGCATAACCTTGCCATTAAGACCAGATGTGGTATAGCAAAAATATACTTGTAAAGTATAAAAAGTAAAAAAACCTTGGTCTTTGTCCCCAGTTCCTGGCACAGAGCTCCTAGAACTCTTGGAATTTCCCAAGTGATAGGAGTATCTTTTGTTATTTATGCTAATGAGATGACTCATGGTATGAAGTGGGGGGCTAGATAGCTTCAGGATGGGGGATTGTCACCAGAAGAACCAACCATATGATTAGAGGGTTGGAACTTGCAGCTTCAACCCATGATCTCGCGGGAGGGGAGAGGGACTGCAGATTGAATTCAATCACTTGGCCAATGATTTAATCAATCATGCCTACTAATGAAACCCTATTTAAAAACCCTGGAACAACGAGGTTTGGAGAGCTATCAGTTTGGTGAACACATAGATTTACTGGGAAGGTGGTGAACCCCGAAAGGGCATGGAAGCCCTGAGCCCCCACTCACCCTCCTCCAGTACCCTGCTCTAAGCATCTCTTCCATTTGACTTTTCTTGAGTTGTATCCTTTATAATAAAATTGTAATCATTCTGTGTCATTCTAGCAAATTATCAAACCTGAGGAGGTCAAGGGAACTCCCATATTTGTAGCCAAGTCATACAGAAGTACAGGTAGCCCAGGGATCTGGGAGTTGTGGCTGACATCTGAAGTGGAGGCAGCCTTATGGGACTAAGCCCCTTAACCTGTGGGGTCTGCACTAACTCCAGGTAGTACAAAAATGGAACTGAATTGTAGCACCCTCAGTTGGTGTCTGAGACTTGCTGCTGGAAAGTTCCAGACAACTTGAATTGTTTGCTCAAAGATCCTCCCAGGTGAATGGCCCAACCAGCATTTGCTCCAGTGACTCCTCATCTGGGCTTTCCTGGCTGACCAGCTTCCACTTTTTATGGTTATACATTCCTTCTACACACAGCAATACCTTCAGATGTTCCAGTCTTGCAGGCCTGAGTGCTGTTCTCTGCTCTAGCCCATTCTGTTTTGATGATATAGGGTAACTTTAGCCTGAAGCATTGATAGCTCAGCCTTCTGTTTAGCTCTGGGTCTTGGCATGCCTGGCCTCCTTTGGAGTTGTGACTAGAAGTCCCCAAATGCTTCCTGGCTTGTCCTGCAAACCTCATGAGTATCTCTATATTGTACAGGTGCAGCTGTCCAATGTCACCATGACTTAGCACTGCCTGGAATTCAAAGAGTAACCTGCCACTCCAGTCCCTGACTCAGCCAGTTCAACTGACTGCACTATTCCCTCTCATTCTCACCTATGGGGACACTTGGTAAGACTGACTCAGACTCAACTCCACAAGCACAGGAAGCTGAAGAATTAGAGCTGAATTACATACAAATTCCCCTCCCTGCCAAACCCCCAACTGCCTCTTCTAAACCATGTATACAACTCCTTCTTTGTTAAAAAAACAAACCAACAAAACAAACCCAACAAACTCCAGAGAGCTGTAAAGTTGCTCATACTCTGATCTTGAAAATCCACTTCCAGACCTAATGAAATAATCAGACATAAAGAATTATGTAAAAATTATAAACTACAATATTATGAAGTGGAAATAACCAAAATATCTAACGAAGAGGAATGATATATTATACGATACACAATGATTAATAAAATGTTTTCTAAGCAATTTTAATGATATTCAAGGTTTCATAACATTATGCTAAGTGAACAGAGTAGGATGTCAACCGTATGTGTTGATGATCTAGGTTAGGTTAAAATGTGTATGTATATTATATGCATCAAAAAACGACTGGAAGAATATAAGAAAGCCATCAACAGTAGTTTTCATTTAATGTGAAGTTATGAGTAACATTTTCTCAAGTTATTTTATGAGTTCATATTACTTTTGTAATCATTTTATAAAAGTACTGTTCATACCACAGCACTGCTGATGTCCTATTGGTGACCCTGGGAAAGTAGCCTTTTCTCCTTTGGCCCTATCCATCTTCCCAGTTTCATTTATTATTCTTCCACACATACTACTTTAAAAAAAATTATTTTTATTACTCAAAAAGCTTCTTTTTTTTTGCTGAGGAAGATTCGCCCTGAGCTAACATGTGTTGCTAATCTTCCTCTTTTTGCTTGAGGAAGATTTGCCCTGAGCTAACATCTGTGCCAATTTTCCTCTATTATGTATGTGGGTCGCCACCACAGCAAGGCCGCTGATGAGTGGTGTAGGTCTGTGCCTGGGAACTGAACCCGGGCCGCCAAAGCTGAGCATGCCGAACTTAACCACTAGGCCACAGGGCTGGCCCCCAAAAGCTTCATTTTTTTATTTAGCTTTCTGACTCTGTGCTTGTGCCTTCAGCACTTTCACAACGATTTTCTGCTCCTCAATAAGGAAAGCACGCTTGATTGTGTCACAGACACATTTAGCACACATGGAACCACCACAGGCCCTGCTGACATATTTTTTCATTTTAGACAACTTCATAAGACCTTTAGGTCTCACAGCCTGAACTCCTCAAAGGCAGTCTGGGCACATGCCACATTGAACTCATCATTCTTTCCACACAACAGCACTGTTCATGACTCTGTGCCTTTGCATATGCTGTTCCTTCAATCTAGAATGCTCTTTGCTATCTTCCATACTTACTCATTCTTCCATGTTCACTTCAAACACCATTTTCAGGCTCCTGAATGCATTAGTCTCTGCAGACTCTGTACTCTATGGTTCTTTGTTTTATATCTGTTAACAGCATTTATCCCATGGTAATGTGACTCATTTACAAGTTTGCCTTCCCCACTAGATTGTAATCCTATCAAGGGTGGGGTACATATATTGTTTACTTTTGTATCACCAGTACCTAGCACACAGTAGGCTACTCAATGAATGCTAAATAAGTGAATTTTAAATGTATTTTCACCTCCTGTTCAAAAAAGAATCAAGCAACTGAATAGATAAATGAATGAATGGACTAGTGGTAAGGTTGAACACTAAGAACAAATCTGGAGTTCCTGCCATCCAAGCTCAGAAAAAGAATAATGTTGGAAGTAAGCTCCTTGAAAGGCTGTACACAAAACCTGAAAATGGGAGAATTTTATAAACACTAATGAAAGACACCTTGCCTCAGCAGATTTTTGGAATTCAGAACACTGCACCTTGTTGCTTGATAATATCAAGAACTGCAAAGGATCTAAGATTTGATGCCAGTGGTCTAAGGTGTTCCCTCCCCAAGGACATCTGAGGGTGTACCAACCAAGCTGGCCTGAGGTTGACATTAGGAGAAAGAAAAATGTATCATGCCCAGGAATGGTCAGGGTGGAATCCAGAATTTTCAAAATAGGTTATATAACACCCCACCCTATTGTCCTGATCATCACCCAGGAAGTGACCAAGAGGAGATGAATCCTTTCTCGGGAAGGTTTCATTCATTGACCATACTAAGTTGTGTGGACTAGGAGGAAGTGAGGGAGAGTAAAAAGTCTTTTTGAGTTGATTTTTGAAAAGGCCTTTCCAATGTTCAATAAAATCAGATGCTTGAAGATGGTGGGGAGTGTGGAATGTCCATCAAATACCTTGACTAGTGGCCCATTGTAGGGTGGCCTTTGCATTGGTTCCCCTTCTGCCTAAGTCCCACAGGGGTGACAGGGACCAGTGAGCTGCGTTACATACATGTAGTGAGCAGCAGTACAGCACAGGAACACTGAATTCAGTGTTCTACCTCTTTTATAGCAAGCAGTAAGCAAGCTTTGTTCTGAGGGGAGATATTACTTTGTTCTGAAGGGAGACATTACTTCATTTTTCAAGGTCGCTTCCTGCAACATAACCCTGAGAAATGGCCTGGATGTAGAGTGGTTAGGGCCTGCATTCTTGGCATACCCAGCCAGATGTGCAGGAGTACAAGAGACTCATGGAGGAATCTACCAACAGATATGTCCTATGAAACTATCAGTGCTCTCACATTCATGCCAATGACCAACACTTAAAAAAACACAAGTAAAGTTGATCAAATAATTCCAATTAAAGAAGAGGATCTCTTGAAATAAGAAAAATTGCTCCCTTAACTCATTCTTCCTTTTCAGTATCTCCTGCCTAGTGTTTTTCAACCACAAAATAAGGCATTACTTTTTCTTTAGGATCTATAGTTTTCTTCTAAAATAATAAAAGCTGTCTTTCATAGTCCTCTGATGACTTAATTTCCTTTTCTTCTTAGATATTCTCCTAAAAGAAACAGAACATGGTTATTATTTGTGAGCAGCAAATTCTCATCACAATGTGACTCATTTATTTATTTATCCCACAAACATTGGTGAGTGACTACCATGTGCTAGGCACTGTGCTAGGTACTGGAGACACAATGATGCCTGGATAGTTAAGACCCAATCCCTGCCCTCAAGGAGTTCATTGTCTGGTAGGGAAGATAGATATATATATAAACATCAATTATACTCCTAGAGTCTTTCATAATAAAAAAATGTAAATAGTCATAATTATTTCCGAAATTTTCTATAATTATCACATATAAATTTTTGATAGAGAAAAATATAATTAAAAGAAAAACAAGTGAAGGAAACAGAAGTAACGAGACACGTAACTGGCTCCTGAGTGGGTATCAGCCTCACCTATCCCTCATGAGCATCCAGCCACTTCTAAGATAGCCTATATCCCTTCCCAGAGCAGTGGGATCTTAGTGGCATGATGTCAGCTGTCTCCTTCTAACTAGTACACATTCTTTGGAGTCTTTTGTGGCCCTAAGCAAGAATCTCAATGAGTGAGATTTAGTGCCAGCCACAGAATCTACATTACAGTGGTCAGGTAACTTCTCTGGTCTTCTCTACACGAGACCTGGGGAATTAGCCCTGGGCCCCAGGTGAAAGGATTGTCTGGCCTCTTGACAGCCTAACTGTCCATTTTCCTAGCCTCATTTTCTGTATACCTTTAATTAGATAATTAGCCCAGATCTACATGTCTCTGTTCTGCCCTCCTGCTCCTGCTCTACCCTGCTGAAACTGAACCTACCTCAAATCCTGACACCTGCTCTGAAAAGCTCCTTGGTGGTTGTAATTGCCTGTCCCTCCTGGGTTGGATTTCACCCCTTCTGTTAGACGCTTCCTAGGGTGGATTTTGCTCAGGCTCAGTCCTGTTTGCTCCTAGAATACCTCATTGCCAGCTGTATAGCAGAGTTTATGACAATCCATGCCAGGGAACCATTTATGACAACTGGGAAGGTCTGTGCAAATATACATTTGTGTGTGTGTATGTAGTTTCTGTAATGGTACTTAATTTCTCGATTAATCCTTTAAGATTCAGCTCTTTGGAGCCCTTGCCTGATTCTGCTGGGCAGAAGTCATTCATTTAATTGTTCATCAAACATGTATTAATTAATTGCCTACTCAACATTAGACGCTGTCTTAGTTACTGGAGATAGGAGAATGATTAAAACACAATTTTTGCCTGCTAGGGGCTCACAGTCTAGGTAAACAAAGAACTCTAGTGGTGGTAATAATAAAGGTATGCATAAAATACATAGCACAGTGGAGAGAAGCCCAAGATCTGACTTGGGTCTTTATTGATTATAAGGAATTTGCCAACCAGATGTGAAGGGGCAGGGACAGAAAAGGAAGATATTTCTGGCAGATAGGACAGCATGTATAGAGTCATGGAAGGCAGAGGCTATTTCTTAAGCAGCTTTGATTTCCTAGTTTATTAGGATAGTGGAGTGTTCATGGTAGATCCTCACTGAGTATTTGTTGAAATAATTAAGGAATGGCTGCTTTCTTCACTAGTAGAAGAGGCTTCTACTATTTCAAAGGAGGGTTCCAACTCCAAAAAAATTACTTTTAGAAATTTAGATTAAAAAATCTAAACATGAACACAATTTATCATTTATTAAGCTCGACTCTCAGATGTAATTTCTCAGTTAGTTCTCTATTAGATCTTTATTCAAAAATGTACAGACATGGAAGGGGAAAGCAGTGCACACCAACAAGCTGGCTCCCTAGCACAAAGTAATTTCTTTTTCTATAAAAGGTCCCTTTATATATAATGGTCCCCAGCAGCTACATCTCTGTTTTTTTCACCCTGCTGCCTCCTCCACCTCCAGAGCTGATATCAGGGTAAACCACATAGTCCAAGAGTGGTCAAATAAGGGTCCTCAAAGAAATTAAGAGGTAGGATGTGAGGCTTGGCCATGATACCAGGCAGGAAAGGAGGCAGTTTGCAATGGGACAGAACAAAGCTAACCCTCTTAGAAGCAGAGAATAGAGAAGCACTCTAGCAGTGTTCCAGTCTCTGCAATCCATTTTCCCTGTGGCTCAGCTGCACTCCATCCTTCCGGTGGTTATGTAAGTAACCCCAGTATCCTTCCAATAAATTCCTCCTTTCTGCCCTAGCTGATTTGATTGGGTCACTTGCAGTCAGAAGACTTGATTACCATAGGGAATGAAGACAGGACACTGGGTGACAAACTTACCCAGCTTCTCTGTGGCTTCCACACAAACACTAGGATACATGCCCTCAGTGTAAGTTGCCACCAGAAGATACATGCAGGTCTTCACAACAACCACACCAGTGTTTTCCTGGATAAGAATAAAACAGAGTGCCCTGCTCGGTTCTAATCACAAGACTAGCAATCACACTCCAGCCACATTTTCCTGACTTCCATATATTCATATATTTGTTTTTGGACTCACTTCTATTTTCAAAAAGTTTCAGACTGTTGTAATAACAGCATGTGTATTTCAAAAAAGATCCCCAATTGATTGTAATATACCCCTATCCCAATGAGAACAACTGATGTAATGGAAAGGTAATACATTTTGGAATTGGACACCTCCATTTTCTGCTGCATGACTTTGGAAGAGTTATTTAACCTCGTTAAGCCTCAGTTTCCTCATCTGTAAAATAAGGCTACTTAGTTTATAATGTGGATAAAGTGTGCTTAACCCATAAGATAGGGTTATAAATAAATGTGAATATCATCTCCTTAATTCCTTATAGGCACCAGAGAGCCAAGAGAGGTTTTAAGCACAAGAGTGATACCATTTTTTCTTTTTTTTAAAGCAGGAGGATGTAGAGTATGAAGCATGGGCTTGGTGGAGAGAGACAGTTCAGGCAAGGTTCAATTGATAGATTCTGGAATGAACGTTCTTGAAACCAGGCTCTCTGTTAGTGCTTTCTTTTACATATGCCTTCCTGGTATTAGACTGCTGTCTCAAACATTGCCTTTACAGTAATGGGCTTAATCTGTTTTATAGATAGGATGCGGGGGGGGGGGGGGTGGGCACAGAAAATTGAAGTCAAATTCTCTTCTTACGGTTTTTATCCAGCTGTCTTCAAATCTCACTCACTCACATTCTTAGCATAAAGAGAATGGTCATCTGCCCGGACACATTTGTAGTCTTTTTCCTTGAAATACAATCCTTCTCTTCTGGCTTGCAAAGGGTTCTTGGCGAATCCATTCACAAGTGTTTGGACATCACTGGGCATTACCTGCAGAGATTAAATAGACTTGGAGTTGGCAAACTACGGTGGGCTGGCCAAAGTTGGCCCACTGCCTGTTTTTGTAGGTCTGCAAGATAAGAATGGTTTTTACATTTTTAAGTAGTTGGAAAAAAAATCAAATGAATATTTTATGATATGTAAAAATTACATGCAATTCAAATTTCAGTGTTCATAAGTAAAGTTTTATTTGAACATAGTCACACCATTCTTTTATGTATTGTCTATGGCTGCTTTCCCATTACAACTGCAGAGTAGTTGTGTAGTTGTGACACAGACCATACGGCCTGGAAACCTAAAATATTTACTATGGCTCTTTACAGAAAAAGTTTAAAACTCTTATGCCCAAACTTGTTTTTTCTTACAGTAAATCCTGGTGATGCTACACACAGGCTCCGCTCCTGGAGGTGGATGAGGGCTGCACTGTCCACATGCTTCGTTCCCAGGAGGGTATCTAACAGTAAGTTGTGCAGATGGCTCATGCTCCCTTAGCTATGAAAAAGGGAACTGCAGTTGAAACGATCAGCTCTGACTAGATTTTAAAAGCCCCGTGACTACAAATCTCCCTAAGACACTTAGGACAGTTTCATTATGAGCGTGTGTACTTTGAAAAGACGAAGAGTGAAAATGGTGGCCATCGTCTAGTATCCACCAATACTCAAGCAGTTTGGCCCACAGGGGGTTCCCCGGAGCGGGACTAGGGGCGAGGGAGGGGGCTAATGTCCAGCCCCGTCAGCTGGGGAAACGCACAGGAGGCACGGAAGGCTCGGGGAGCGCGGCGGGGCAGACGAGAGCGGAAACCACCAAGCAGGCAGCGCAAGACCCAGAGCTCCACCACGCGCTGGGGTGCTGAGCAGCCGCCAGTCAACGGACGCGGGGGAAGGCGGGGCGAGGGGGCGACGTGCCCAGCTATTGGCTGCGATAGCTGCCCGTCACTGAGAAGCGCTGCGGCTCTGTTCGCAAACCACGACCTGCCCACCAGCGCGGCCTTACGGGCTTCCAGGTTCCTGCTCGGCTTGAGTGGGCCGCGGGAGCGCAGTTGCGCGGGGCTCAGGGACGCGGCGGGCGGGTTCCCGCGGAATTTGGAGTGCTCCGCCTGCCTCCGCGCCGCGGGGACTCGTTGTCGTCCGCCGCGGAGGGGCCGCGGGGGCTGCGTGCGGCGACACTGGGGCGAAACGTTCTCGCATTCCGAGGCGACGGCCCGAGCGGACTGGGCCGCAGGCCTGGGCGGCCTCACTCTCCTGGCGCAGCCGACGACTCCGGGGCCGCGCGCCGTCGGGCGGGGCCCCGCGTGCTGCAGGGGAGCCGAAGGCCTGCCAGTCTCGAGAGAGGAGCTGAGGTGCCTGTCGCGGCCTACAGCCACCTGCCAAGTCGGGCGGAGGCCGCACGCATCTTGCTGACGGGGATGGGAGGGAAGGGACGGGGTCGTGGGTCCCGTAGGCCTGCAACGGGCGCGAGCCCTAATGACAGCTTCTCCCTCAGATACAGTCCTGGGGGGTGGGGTTGGGGGGGCTGCGGGGAGGTTGGGCCCCTCAAAGCTCGAAGACAGGCAAATTGTGTCCAGAAGCCCCTCCCTTCCTTGTGTAGGCATCCCAGACTGTGTGCGCTTCAGTGCCCAGAAAGTTGCAACTCTCCTCATTCCAAGTCAGAAAACTGCAAATGCGACTCCTAGAGGCCAGGCTGATAAGTGCCACACCGGCTGGAATGAGCTACGTTGGAGGAGGATGTGGGAAGCCTGGGATTCCAGGGGGACGCGGCTGGGTCCAGAGAGAACCTGCCGTGCCCGAGGAGGCTGGCACTGAAGACAAAGGCAGAAGCCCATGGCGAAGGCCTCTTTTGTTAGGGAAAGCGTGGGTGGCTAATGTTCAGAGTCCATTCCATGTCTGTTCGTGGTCACAAGTATTGAGTGTTAATTAAATAAAAGAGAAAATAAGATGATTGTGAATTCTCATTACTAAATAATTTTTTAGTTTTTCTAGGGGCTCTGTCATTGGTGACCACAATGGAAAATTTAGACAGTGATGATCTGATAACTAACAAACTTCCCAAGCTCAAGAGATCAAAAGAATGGTTGGAACCACAGCCACTTTCTTTTATGGAGGTACAATAGTATGGCATTTTGAAGTTTATACTTGAGTAGTTGCATTAAGAAGTGGCTTGTGCTAAATATATTTTTTTTCTATGTTTTCTATTTCATTCTCTTTATTTTTCCCTGCATTCTGCTAACTTTATGTTTACTTTGCTCTTTATTTTCTAGCTTCTTAAGGTGGAATCATAGGTCGTTGGTTATATACTTTTTCTAATATAACAAAGTTATAAAGTTTCTCTTGAAGCACTGCTTTAGCTGCATCACCCAAATTTATATATTTTGTGGGTTTTTTTAGATTGTAATTTCTTTTTTTCTAAACAGTTTTATTAAGGTATAATTGATATGTAATAAGTTTGCATATATTTAAAGTGTACAGTTTGATAAATTTTGACATATGTAGTCACACATGAAACCATCACCACAATCAAGATAATGAACATATTCGATACTCCCAAAGTTTCCTTATTGTGTCCCTTGGTAATCCCTCCCTCCCTGCCTGTCCCCAAAGCAAACACTGATCCTCTTTTTGTCACTATAGTTTATTTTGCATTTAAAATTTTTTATGCAAATATAATCTTACAGCATGTATCTTTTTGTTTGGCTTCTTTCAGTCAGCATAATTATTTTGCAATTCATCCATGTTGTTGCATGTATCAATAATTCATTCCTTTTTTTGCTGAATGCTATTACACCCTAGTTTGTTCATCCTGTTAATAGACATTTGGGTTGTTTGCAGTTTTTGGCTATTACCAATAAAGCTGTTAGGAACATTCACGTACATGTCTTTGTTTGGACATATACTTTCATTTCCCTTGGGTAAATATCTAGTTGTGGAATAGCTGGGTCATATGGTAAATGAATTTAACTTTTTATGAAATTGCCAAACTGCTTCCCAAAGTGATTGTACTATTTTACATTTCCACTAGCAGTGTATGAGAGTTCCAGTTGTTTCACATCCTAGCTAACATTTGGTACAGTCTTTTTTTTTGTATGTATGTGTAGTCTTTTTAATTTGAGACATTCTGAAAGATGTATAGTGGCATCTCATTATGGTTTTCATTTGCATTTCCCTAATGACTGATGATGTTGAGCATCTTGTCATGTCTTACTTGCTGTTTATATATATTGGTTGGTGAAGTGTTTGCTCAAATATTTTACCCATTTTTAAGTTGGATTGTTTGTTATTTTATTGTTGAGCTTTTATTATTGAAAGATAATTTACACACCATAAAATTCACTACTTTAAAGTGTATGATTCAGTGATTTTTAGTATATTCACAACTAGCACCACTATCACCACTATCTAATTCCAGAACATTTTCATCACCCCCAAAAGAAACCTCATACCCTTTAGCAGTCACTTTCCATTCCCTTCTCTCCCTGACCACCACTAATGTACTTTCTCTCAGATTTGTCTATTCTGGACATTTTATACAAATGGAATCATACCGTATGTAGTCATTTGTGACTGGCTTCTTTCACTTAGCATACTGTTTTCAAGGTTCATTCATGTTGTAGCATGTATCAGTACTTCATTCCTTTTTATGGCTAAATAATATTTCATTATATGGATATACCACATTTTATTTATCCATTCATCAGTGGATGGGCATTTGGATCATTTCTGTTTTTTGGCTATTATGAATAATGCTGCTATGAACATTTGTATGCAAGTTTTGTGTGAACATACATTTTTGTTTTGTTTTTTCAGTGAGGAAGATTGGCCTTGAGCTAACATCTGTGCCAGTCTTCTTCTATTTTGTATGTGGCATGCTGCCACAGCCTGGCTTGATGAGCAATGTGTAGGTCTGCTCCCGGGATCTGAACCTGTGAACCCTGGGCCACCAAATTGGAGTGCATGAACTTAACCACTATCCCACCTGGCCGGCCCCCTTAACATATGTTTGAGGAACTGCCTGTTTCCCACAGTGGTTGTACCATTTACGTTCTCATCAGCAATGTATGAAGGTTCCAATTTCTCCACTGCTTGGATTTCACTGAACTTCTTTTATCTGTGGACTTATAGTTCCCAACAAATTTGGAAATTTTTCAGCCATTATTTCTTCAAATATTTTTTCTATTCCTCCCCCAACTCCTTTTGGGAAATACAATTACATGTATAATAGCATGCTTGAAATGGTCCCTTAGCCCACTGATACTCTGTTAATTTTTTTCAGGTATTTTTCCCCTGCCTTTCATTTTGGACAGCTTCTGTGTTATGATTTTAAGTTTACTGAGCTGTTCTTCTGTAACACTGAATGTGCCGATAAGCCTGTCCGGTGTATTGAAAATCTCAGATGTAGTAGTTTTCATCCCAAGAAGTTTTATTTGGGTCTTTTTTATATCTCCCCTGTCTCAGAACTTCTGCTGTTTCTTCTAGCTTCTTGAACTTAAGAACTACAGGTATAATAACTATTTTAATGTCCTAGTGTAATAATTATTTCATATGTGCCATTTCTGGGGCAATTTTAATTGATTTATTTCTTCATTATTGGTCAAATTTTCCTGCTTCTTTGTATGCCTGGTGATTTTTTATTGGATGCCAGACATTGTGAATTTTACCCTGTTGAGTGCTGGATATTTCTGATTTCCCATAAATATTCCTGAGCTTTGTTCTGGGATGCATTTGGACATAGTCTGATCCTTTTGGGTCTCGCCTCCAAGCTTTGTTAGGCAGGACCATAGCAGCGTCTAGCATATGGCTAATTTTGCTTCAGTACTTATACAGAACCCCTCTGAGTTCTCAACTGTATGCTTTTTGAACCATGGGGTTTTTCACTCTGGCTGATGTTAAGAGGAATAACTCCTGGGGCTGTGTGACCTCTAGGGATTGTTCCCCCTAATCCTTTCAGGTGCTTCTTTGCCAGTGTTTCTTTGGGTAGTTCCCCCCCCTGCATGTAGTGTTGAACGTTCAGCAGAAGACTCAAGGGGGACTCTCTACAGATCTAACCCTCTGCAAATACCCAATCTCTTTCTCTGTGTAACTTTTCTCCCTCTGGTACTCTGCCCTATGAACTGTAGCTGCCCTGGCCTCCCCAGACTCCTGGCTTCCCTCATTTCAGGGAGACAGCTGGGTTCCACCTGATTTCCTCCTCTCTGTGCCACAGTCTGGAAATTCTTTTCAGGCGCTGAACTGAGCTATCACAGGGCTCACCTTGTTTTCTGTTTCTCAGGACCCACTGTTCTTCATTGCCTGATGTCGAATGTCCTGAAAACTGTTGTTTCACTCTTTTTTTTTTTTAAAGGTGGGAGGGTAAATCTGTTCCCTGTTACTCTATCTTGTCTGAAAGTGCAAGTTCTCATCCCAGCCATCATTTCTTCAAACATTTTTTTCTGCTCCGTTCTTTTATTTCTCACTTCTGGGACTCCACTTACCCACCTGTTGAACCTTTTGCTATTGTCTTTTAAATCACTGCAGCTCTATTATTTTCCAATCTTTTTTCTCTCTCTCTTTCAGATTAGATAATTTCTATTGATCTGTGTTCAAGTTCACTGACTCTTTTTATGTCATCTCTTATCTGCTATTAAGCCCACTGAAGTTTGTTTGGTTTTTAAATTTAAGAACTATATTTTCCACTTGGTTCTTTTTTATAGTCTCTATTTCTCTGCTGAGATTTTCTATCCAATCATTATGAGCATATTTTCCTTTAACTTCTTAAGCACAGCTATAATAGTTGACCTAAAATCTTTGTCTGCTAATTCCAACATATGGGCCATCTCAGAGTTTGTCTCTATTGATTGCCTTTCTCATAAGTAGGGGTCACGTTTTCCTCTTTCTTGGTGTGTCTAGTAATGCTAGACTATATTTTGGACATTATGAATGATACATTGTAAAGGTTCTGGATTCTGTTAGGTTCCTCTGAAGAATACTGAGCTTTCGTTTTAGCAGGAAGTTAACTGGACTGAACTCAAACTCCAAACTTTGCCTTGCCTGTGGTTGGCAGCAGGTGAAATCACTGTTTAGTCTTTTTTAGCTTTAGCAGGGCTGCATGGAGTCTGCCTTGTGCGTACATAGTTCAAGGGTCAGCTGGAGATTTGGTAAGAGTTTATTTGCAGAATTCATGGTATTGACTCTATGGCTTTCTCCTTTTGGGTATATATCTTCTCTTACTTTCCAGCTCCTATAGTTGCCCTGAACTTGGTCTTCTAATTCTTGAATCTGTAAAACTGCATGTTTCTATCTGAGTTTCAGCCACCTCCTTTAGTTCTCACTGAGACCTGCTCTTAGACAAAAGTCCATAAAAAACTAAAAACTTATCCAGGGCTGTTCTCTTTTTCCCAATGTTGACTACCCTCTAGTTTCTCCCTGCTTTTGGTCAGTCTCCAGTTCTTCAGATTGTTGTTTTTTATATTTTTTCTAGAATATTAATTCAGTACCCATCTTGGTTTTGAGAACAGCAGATTTGCCAGGAATAGCAACTACGTGAGGCAAAAAGAACAAAGAAAATGAATTTGGAGTTAGACACATTTGAGTTGAAATTCTGGCTCACTGCAATATTTTCTAGGCTTCTAGTTGTTGCTTAACTCCCATGAGCCTTAATTTCCTTGGGTGTTAATAAGAAAGGTTAGTTCTTAGATTTTGAGATTTCATTTCTCTGTTCTAGAAACAAGTAGTGGAAATGAAGACAACTACTTCCAATGACAGTTAATTTGAGAATATTTTATTTTTTGTGTAATTATGAGAGGATTTCAAAGGCCTATCACAAACGTCTCCAACTTTGAGCATGTTTTTTTTTTAATTTAATAATTTTTCATTGTGGTAAAATATATATAGCATAAAATTTGCTATTTTTAACTATTCTTAAGTGTATAATTCAGTGACATTAATGACATTCACATGTATGCTAGAAATTAACCTCTTGTATTTTCTGACAGATATTTAATTGTGGAAGATTTGTTATAAAAATGGAAAAAATTAATGTTATGAACTATTTCCTGAAGACTGTGTTGCTTTAAAATCTGAAAATGTGATTTGTTCATTAAAAATTATTATTAATATTTGATACCTATAATGCCTAAATGAATTCAAATAGAGGCCTGATTATATCTATTTTGACCCATGAAGGTACAAGCATTTTATAGGATGTGAACAAAGATGGGTTCTACCTACCATGTGACTCTGGGCAAGTCATCTGACCATGCTCGGACTCAAAACGTCTGTGACCTGAGTTATTTTTTTGCCCTAGAATGAACTGTATCTGAGAGCAGAAAGATTCAAATACTCTTAAAAAAGTACTTGATGATATGACTTGAGGTAGAAAAACCGGATTTACAGAGAACTTTCCAGGGATATGTCTGTCACATAAAACATTATGAGTCCAGGTAGTATTAATAACTTAACTTTTTTAAGATTTGATTTTCAAAATTTTACCCTGTTATTTCAGGTATTAGCTAAAGAAGATATTGATGCAGCTACTCAATCAATATTATATAGAGAAAATTATATAATTAAGGTAAGAATTGGCTACGAAATGTATGTCAAAAATTAAATTTTGTTGTTCTATTTTAGATGTAATGCATCATCATCATAAAAATTTTAGAAAATATAGAAAATGGAAAGAATTAAAAACACTTATTAGCCCCTAGGATTAACCTTAAGAGATCTTTGAGATTGCTCTAATTGACTTCCTCTCGTCCTGTTCTTTGTGGGGATTCTTGCACAGATAACTTACAAGAGTTTCCCCCTACTCATTTGTTCCTTCTTCTTAGTGGGGCTTCTGTGGAGTCGTCATGTATGATTAAGAGCTTTAAGAACTGTTATTGGAACATACTGACCAATTATTACTCAGGTTTACATTAGTAAGAACAAGGCTTTAACTGTAGCAGGATGGGCATAATTATCAGACACAGCAAATGGCTATGTGAAGTATACCAAACACTGGGGTAGGTCATCTGTTTTTGTTTTGAAGAATTTCCTTTAAATTTGTTTAAAAAGGAAAGGAACTATTCATTGAGAATGGTTGAAGTGTGCTATGACCTGAAGTTAGAGAGAATCTCTCAGGATTCTTATATTTTACTTTTTTCATTATGAATTTCATGTTGTTGATCCTAGTAATCACATTATTTCATTTGCTAGATGAAAGGTAGATGAGCAGTTTTGGTGAGAATGATTTAGTTTATAGTCTAAATCAGGCATTTTCTTTGCAGGCTACTTGCCATTTGGACCAGATTGTGCTACACTTCTGCCTCTTTACTCTTGTCTTTTTTTTTTCCCCATAGAATATTTTTCTTCCTCATTCTCTGCTATCCCTTCTCTTCCTAGATAACTCCTCATTCTTTAAGGCTCATCCCAAATGTCTCCCATTTTAGAAGTCTTTTTTAAAAAGTTTAATCATTTTTTTCCCATTGTGGTAATTTGCTATTTTTAATGATTTTTAAGTGTACAGTTCAGTGACATTAATTACATTCACATGTTGTGCAACCATCATCACTATTTCCAAATAGATGGATGTTGTGCAACCATCACCACTATCTACTTCCAAAACTTTTTCATCACCCAACCAAACTTTATTCTCATTAAGTAATAACTCCCCATTCCTCCCTCCCCAAGCCTCTGGTGACCTCTAATTTACTTCTGTCTCTATGAATTTGCCTATTCTAGATATTTCATATAAGTGGAATCCTACAATATTTGTCCTTTTGTGTCTGGCTTGTTTCACTTAGCATATTGTTTTCAAAGTTCATCCATGTTGTAGCATGTGTCTGAACTTCATTCCTTTTTATGACTGTATAATATTCCACTATATGTATCTACCACATATTGTTTATACATTCGTTGATGGACACTTGGGTTGTTTCTACCTTTTGGATATTGTGAATAATGCTGCAATGAACATTGGTATACAAGTATCTGTTTGAGTCCCTGTTTTTAATTCTTTTATATATATATATATATGTATCTTGCTATATTGTCCCTCCTCCCATTGCTTTGTAGATTTGTTTTGTAGTCTGTCCCTCCAGGGAGAGCAGCATGTTATCTAATTTACCTCTGTGTTCCTTGTTTCCAGTATAGTGTGTATCACACAGTGGAAGCCAAATAAATGGTTGAATTAATGAATGACTTTGTTAGTTATTGTTAGGAATGTAAATGAAGTTTAAATTTTAGAACAAGAAAGATTTAAGATAATCTATTTCTTTTCTATCATTGTTTGCTAGGAACTAGATAAGTATTTACAACATCATGACTTCTTAAATGCAAGAAGAAAAGAGATATTATATAAAAGATGGGTTGACCATGTGGCAGATCCTCTCCAGAAGAAAATTATAGAAAAAGTTTGTTCACATAAGAAGATTGAAAAAAGGAGACAAGAGGAATTAGATGGTTTTTTAAAACACGTAAATAAAAAGGTACTAAGAGATCATTTGAAACCTTTTTCAGTTGGTTTAAAAACTGTGGTTATCTTTGTTCATTTATAATCATCCAAACAGCCTGCCCCTGCCCGCTCTATATATGTGTAATCTATACTCTGTTGTAGCATGTGCTATTCTTAAATCCAGGGCGTATGGAGAGGGTGGAAGAAGAGGATTAGGTCTGGATTTAAGTGTGTACATTAGAATCATTGTCCTTTGTTTTTCCCACGTAATTATTTATATATCAATCTAAAAATTTTGGACTTTAGGTTCAGGATATATATTTTTTGTTCGGGAACTCTATTTACAAAGCTATAAAATATTTCTGTTCTCCTAGCATTTTAAAGAGATCTGCGATGTTTGATTTAGTAAGCATTTAAATACAAATTCCCAAATCTTTTAGTGTTCTAACATTCTTTATTAAAATCTTGCAAATTTTAAGTAGATTCCTTCTGTCACTATAATATTTATTACTTGAATAAATTTAATTTCAAATTTGGTCTTCCCTTCCATTTTGCATTTGTCATTGATGCCATTTCAAAGCTTAAGAATGGAACTGTGTATTTAAGTTGAGTTCTGTTATGCTCGAAATTAGTTGTGCACGTCTTGTTCTTACGTGTGGTTTTGTTTCCTTCCTATAGGGAAATGCATTTGCAGAGCACTATGATCCAGAAGAGTATGATCCTTTTTATATGAGCAAAGAGGACCCAAATTTTCTGAAGGTAGGATAGATTTTTATTTTGACTTTGGTATTATGTGGTTGGTTTTTTTGAGCAGCCCCAATATATGAGTAGTCCTTTAGTGATTCCTTAAGAATGCAGTAATATCTTAAGAATAGTTTCCCATCTCCATATCTTAGAAAGGAACAAAAAAGTCAAAGTCTAAAGTAAATTAAACCTCTATAAAGTTTGCAAATATTGTATAATAATTGGGTAATAGGTAATGTTTAAAAATTTCATAGACTTCTAGTTTGTTACAAAAGTGATATATTTTCATGATAAATGAGAAAATCTATTTTAAATAAAGATAAAAAAACACTCATGATTCTATTACCCAGTATGAACTCATTAATATTTTTCTGTTTATCCTTCAAGACTTTTTCTATATGTAGGTGCATATGCACATTTTTATTTTACAGAATTGGGATTATACTCTACATTAGGTTTTATAATTTTCTTTTTTTCCCCTCAATAGTTTATGATTTGCTTCTTTCCTTGGTCAATAAATTTAAATACATAATTTTAAGTATTGCATGGTATTCTATTATTAATAGCAGTTAACTTGCACTGAAGGCTTAACTAAATGTTAGGACTTTTTTCTTTTCATTTTATTTCATCTTCATTGCTATCATGTGAGGTAATTTACAGATGAGGCAAGTGAGGCACAGATAGGTTAAGTTACTTGTTCAAGGTCACACAGCTGTAAATAGCAGAGCAGAGATGTGTTTCTAATCATATATGGTATCTTGCTATAACATCTTTTTTTTTTTTTTACATATTCCCTATTTTAAACATCTAGATTGTTTTTGACATTATGATGAACATTCCTGTAGCTTTTTATTTCTTAATTTTTTCCTTAGGGTAAGTTGCTAGAAGTAGAATTGCTAAGTTAAAGGTTATGCATGATTTTGATTCATATTGCCAAATTGTCCTCCAGAATGGTTGTATAAATTTGCACCCCCACCAGAATCCGTTTTTCCACACTTTTGCTAATAGTGGATATTATTAAACAAAATAATATCCTTGAGTAATAGACCAGCCTTGAGTCATAGACATTTTAAACTGCTGGCATTTGCAGGCAAAGCAGGTCCTTTTTTTTTTTGCCAAATTGGGGTGTGTGTATATGCTATTTTCCCTGTTTTTATAGGTGAGAGTTAAACTGAGAGTTTAGAGTTAGAGCCTTAGATATACTAACTAGTAACATAGCTAGTAAGGGGCAGAATTGGGATTTGAAACCAGATCTTTTTGATACCAAAATTCCATTCTGTTCTTTTGCCATGCTGCCTTTCTAAGCTGACAGGTGACCTCTTAACGTAAGCTGAGTACTGTGAAGTTACAGCAGCAGTTCTCAAAGTGAGGTGCATAGACCTTTGTGAGCCCCGAAACCCTTTTAGGGGGTCCATTAGGCCAAATCTTTTCATGATAGTGCCAAATATTATTTGTCTTTTTCATTGTGTTGACATTTGCTCTGATGTTGCAAAAGCAATGGTGGGTAAAACCGCTGGTGCCTTAGAACAGCTTAAGTCAATTTCACCAAATTGTACTGGTAGTCTCATATTCTTCATTGCCATGCACTCACAGTAAAAAAAAAAATTCCAATTTCACTTCAGAATGCCCTTGACCAAACAGTAAAAATTATTATTAAATCTTGCTTTTTGAGTATACATCTTTTTAATATTCTGTGATAAAATAGAAAGTATGCAAAGAGCACTTTCTGCATACTGAAATACAGTACAGTTGTTTGAACTGTGAGCTGAATTGGTTGATTTCTTTTTCATGGAACACCATTTTTACTTGAAAGAATGACTTTCAAACTATGGTTATTAAGTCTTGGGTATTTGGCAGACATTTTCTGGAAAATTAATGAAGTGAGTCGTGACTTCAAGAAAAACAACTGACAATATTTGTTGCCAATGATAAAAATGTGAGCTTTTAAGCAAAGAATTCAAATTTTGGAAAAATCATATTCACTATCATGAATGTGACAGTATCCTAATACTCAAAGAGTTTACTGATGAGATTAGTAATGATATTAATGAATGTGATTATTGTATAATGAAATGTATTAACATTTGGAAGATCTCACATAACTCAGTGATCCAATTTTTTCCAAACAACCAATTCATGACATGGATAAAAGATCCATTCAACATTCAGGATAGGCCACTGGATTTTAATGTAGCAGAGTTTGAATAACTTATTGATATGGTTTCAGATTCCACATCATAACTAACCTTTAAGAAACTACCACTCAAGGGGGGCCGGCCCAGTGGCGTAGCCATTAAGTGCGCTCGCTCCGCTGCAGTGGCCCGGGGTTTGGATCCCGGGTGCGTACCAACTCACCGCTTGTCAAGCCATGCTGTGGTGGTGTCCCATATAAAGTGGAGGAAGATGGGCATGGATGTTAGCCCACGGCCAGTCTTCCTCAGCAAAAAGGAGGATTGGCAACAGATGTTAGCTCAGAGCTAATCTTCCTCACAAAAAAAAAAAAAAGAAAGAAAAAAAAAAGAAACTACCACTCAAAAAGTTTGGGTGTAGTGTTTAAGAAGAATATACACAATGATCTGAAAAGGCTATTAAAACAAGAACTAAACATGGCTGGAGGGCCTTGCTAAGAGATGTGTTGGAGTGCTTCCATCTCTTTGTAATGTGTTAAATATATATCATGGTTAGACTGCCATTAGTTTGTAGATACTGTATTCTTATTTTTCTGGCATAAGAGCCATACATGGATGCTTAAGATAGACTGAAAAGACCTGCAACACAGTCCTCAAAGAAGTGCTTTTCTTGTAGGTTACCATCCCACCATTTCGTGACCCTTTGAAAAAGGCACAATATGACAAAGATGATGAAAAGAGAACTCTTCTTCAGTGTGAGACTGGTACTTAGTTCCTAATTGTTATATGATTTCATAACCCAAGAGCAATGGGAGTTGCATTTAAGGGTACTAATTTAGGTTACTAATCTTCCTACAGGCAAAATATATACAATGAAAGAATTTAAAGAGGTTGAGAAGGCCAAACTGCATTCCAGATTTCCAAGAATTTCTACTTCAAGGCACTTTATGACTCCAAATGAGTGGCTTAAACTGCCTACAAGCTACATAGAAAGTGAATTTTGTAAAAGGAGCAGGTAATGGTTAATATAATAGAAATTATGGAACCTCTTGGAATTTGAAAACTTTTTCTTGAGACAGTGATATAAATTTTGTCATAGTTAGGATTTTTTTAAATTTCATTTTCAAAGAGAAATCTACTATAATTCTTTTCTTTGTTCCTCTGTATGCAATGTTTCTTTTTTCTTGGGTACTTTCAAGATTTTCTCTTTGTCCTTGGTTTTCATTAGCTAGACTATGACGTGTCTAGGTGGTTTATTTTTTTTCCCTTTCTTTCTGTTTATCCTGCTTAGGGTTCTCAGAGATTCTTGTACCTGTGGTTTTATGTCTTTCATTATTTTGGTGGAAATTCTATGGCATTATCACTTCAAATATTTCTTATGCCCCATTCTTTCTGGGGTTTTTTTTCTGTGACTCCAATTATATGTATGTTAGGTCATATGATAATGTCCCATACCTCTATAGCGCTTAGATACTCTGTTCTTTTTTTTTTAACTTTCTTTTCTATTTGTATTTCAGTTGGACAATTTCCACTCACCTATCTTTACGTTCACTGACTCTTTCCTCAGCTGTGTTCCATCTATTTATCAGCCCATCAAATGAGTCTTTCCTTGGCTGTGTCCCATACTGAAGGGCCTATCAGAGGAATTCTTCATCTCTGATGTGATGATTTTTATTTTTAGCATTTCCATTTGATTTTTTTACATAGTTTTCATTTCTCCTGAAATTTTCCATCTGTTCATACATGTTGTTCACCTTTCTAGTAGATTCTTTAACATATTACTCATAGTTATTTTAAATTCCCTATCTTATAGTTCCAACATTAGGGTCATTTCTGAATCTGGTTCTGTTGTTTGTTTTATCTCTTGACAGTGGGTTACTTTGTCTTGCGTTTTTTTTGCATGTCTTATAATTTTTGATTGAATGCCAGATATTTGATTGAATGCCAGATATTTGAGGTTATTTTGTCTTGCTTTTTTTGGCATGTAATTTTTGAATGAATGCCAGGCATTAGAAATAGAAGAACAGTATAGACTGAGTATTTATGTCTAGAAACGGATATGCCTCTTCTTCTGTCAAGCATTAGTGTGGAGAATTGGGCTTATGTAGTCAGAAGTTGAACTGGGTTTAGGTATTATTATTGCTATTGTTACCTTCAGTGCACTACAGGCTTCAAATGCCTCTAGTGGTAGGCTACTGTTACCTTGTGTTTAGGGTGGGGGCTAGGATGCCCAGAGGGATTTTCTCAAGTGTTTCTGCTTTCCCTTCAGGTTTGGGCTCTTGCTTCGTCTCCAGAAGTATACTGCTGTTGCTTGTGGCTAGGCTTATAGTGGGGGCAGAGGAATGTTCTCTTTTTTCCTTTCCAGCTTCAGTTTTAGGCAAGCCCTATATGCTTGGGCCTAAGGAGTAGGGCTGTCTTAGAGTTACTTTCCCTTCTCCCTGTGGCAGCCAAACTCTGTCTTGTATCTGTGGTTGTTCTTAGATGGTAGTTTCCTGCCCCTCTTCCAATAGTAGCAGAACTCTGCTTGGTATGGGTATAGGATTCTGGGCCCAAGGCAGTTTCTTGCCCCTCCCCCTGGGACAGAGGATTTTTGCTTCTATCCCTGTCCTAGTAGCAGTGGATCCTTGCCTCTGCTCTGGGTGTAAGAGGATTTCCCACCCCTCCTCCAGAGGCAGACAGGTTTTGCTTTTATTCCTCTCCCAGAAGCACTAGATATTTGCTTGTTGTCCTAGAGGAAAAAGAGTTTGTTTCCTTTCCCCCAGCAGCTTAAGGCTTTTGCTTTGTAGGAGGGAAGGGTCCAGGGAAGTGGGTAGGGTTCTGCACTTGTTTATCTTTGCCACTGATGGGGGCTGTCTCTGGTTTTCTGCCCTGTGCCCAATCTTAATA